CTGGGAGGTGCACTTTGTGAGGACAACTTTGTTGTCAGGGGACACTGTTTGATGGGCCTTCTGGGAAGTCTCGTGAGAGCTTTGGGATGCCAGTACTATAGGGACTGGATGCTGAAACAAACCGGCCCAGATTGAAGGCAAAGAAGTAAGGAAGACAAGACCTGGTCTCCTTTGCAACTAGAGAGTGGCTTCTAACCCCCATCATATAGTTAAACCCAGCACGTGTTCTCCATTTCCCTAACATCATAGCACCACCTGGTGTCCAGGCAATATATTTATACACACACACACACACACACACACCCCCATATATATATATATATATATTTAGTTTTTTGCTTCTTTTTTCAATTTTTTCCTTAGTTTTTTTCTTTTCTTTTCTCTTTCATTGTTGTTTGTTCAGTCCTTTCTTATCTGGTTGCATTTTATTTTTTCAATTTTACTTTTTTCAATACCAAACGCTCCTCCATATTGATAATGGTTTTGCAGTCCCATTTATTCTTTCTTTCTTTTTTATTTCTCTCCTTTTTCTATTTATAGATATTTTCTACCTTCTTCATCTTTCCCACATAAATTTCTCATACAACAGCAAATATCCTTACTTTTCTTCTTTCTCTTATATAATTGTATTTTTAATTTTCTTTATTTTTATTATTATTACTTTTTTCTCTTATCTGAAGGCTAGAGGGTCATGGATTGGTCAGGCTAGGGGTTGCTACATCATTGGTCTGGCCCAAGGAGGCCATGAGCTTATTGTCCAGGGTGTCCTTATAGTTTGGGCCTTTGCATAGACTGTATTGGTAGGTCCCCACTGAGACATACTGCTGATTTATTTCTATTTTTGGCAGAAGTGGGGTCTTGATTTTTCCCAGGCTGGTAAGGTGCTTCTGACTTTGAAGGACATGCCAGCTTGGCTCCTCAAAGTCTGAGAGCTGAGGGGAGGTTAAAGCACCTTGCTGAACACCACCATTTCTCCTGTTGCTCTTTTCTCTGCTACTGTCCCTTTTATTCAATTCTTTCCTTCTACCTCCCCTTTTTATTTTCCTACTTTATCCTTTTCTTTCTCCCTTATTTCTCTTTACCCTTATCTCCCTTTTGGTCTTATACCAAAAAGCCACTTCAACACCTAATCTCTGAGACAAGGTCTTCTAAAGAGAAGAAGGTAGTGAGAAGGAACAAGTAGGGGAAGGAAGAGAACAAGAAGAAAATAGACATGATGAGGAACAAACAGAAAAATTCTGGCAACATGAAAAAGCAGAACAGAGCAACCCCCCAAGAGACCATGAAGGAGTTACTACAGAGGATTCTACCTATATAGAATTAATGGAAATGAAAGAAAGGGAATTTAAAATATGGATGGCAAAAACAATATAGTGAATTGATGAGAAAGTGGAAAACAGAACAAACAATGGATAAAAGATATGAAGAACATAAAATGGATATGGTAGAGCTTAAGGACTTGAAGGAATTTATCAGGGAACTTAAAAGGTACAGTAGAAAGCATCAGTAACAGATTAGAGGTAGATGACAAAGGCCTTGAGCTAACACAGGTAGTTAAAGAGGCAGAAAAGAAGAGAGAGAAAGCATAACATTTTCTCAGAGAATCATAGACCTTCATAGAACATTCAAACATACAAATTACAGGTATTCCTAAAAGGTAAGAAGAACATCCCAAAGAAGTGGAATCTATACAGGACGATATCATAAATGAAAATTTCCCAAGAATCCCTAAAAATTCCAAAATACACCTTTTACAGGGAGATTGAACTCTGGATCATCTCAACACAAATAGAGCATTTCCAAGACCTATTGTAATGAACCTCCTCAAAGTCAAGATGAAAGAAAATTGTGCAAGCAGGCAGGAGTAAGTGCCAATTGATCTACAGGGGCAGATCCATCAGGGTTTCAGTGGATTTCTCTGCTGAAACTTTCCAAGCCAGAAGAGAATGGTCATCTACTTTAACCTTCTTAAATAAGAGGCAGAAAAGAAGAGGGAGAAAGGCCCAGATTGAGGGCAAAAAAAGTCAGGGAGACATGACCTGGTCTCCTTTGCAACTAGAGAGTGGCTTCTAACCCCCATCATATACAGTTAAATCCAGCATGTGTTCTCCATCTTCCCAGCATCATAGCACATTATTCAGAATTCTGTATTGTGCTAAACTAAGCTTCAAATTTGATGGAGAAATCAAATCTTTCATTGATATACCAACATTGAGGACATTTGCCACAATAAGACCAGCTCTATAGGAAATATTTAGATGTATTTCCCACTCAACATCACAATAGACCACCAGCCAAGTAAATACGCAAAAAACTAAAGGACAAAACCTAGCTTCCCTTCATAACCCAGCCCCGGCCAAAAACTCCAAAAAAAAAAAAAAAAAAAACCAAAACCTAGCTTCCACAGGGGTACAAAGGATAAAACTAAGGAATGAACCTTCACAAAAAAGGACAAATAGAACTTATCATTCTCTTAGTAAATTTTAACAGCTTGAATTCCACACTGAAGAGGCACAGGCTGGCTTATTGGGGGGGGTGGGGGGGAAAAAGAAAGAAAGAAAGAAAAAAAGAAAAAACCACAATCTATTCATTTGTTGAATCCAAGAAACTCACCTAACCACCTAACCTCCTAGCCTTGAAGCACAAAATAAGACTCAATGTGAAGGGTTGGAAAATAATATTTCAGGCAACGAAAATCAGAAGACAGTAGGTGTCATAATCTTAATTTCAGATACAAGTGGATTTAAAGCAACTAAAGTTAAGAAAGACAAGGATGGTCACTTCTTACTGGTCAAAGGAAGAATACATCAAGAGGATATTTCAATTCTAAATATTTATGCACCCAACTTAATTACTCCCAGATTTATAAAACAGACCTTAATTGGTCTGAGAAATATGATATCCTATAACACTGTAATAGCTCAGGAATTTCACATCCCTCTGGCAGAACTGGTCAGATCTTCTAAACAGAAACTAAGCAAAGACACAAGGGACATAAATGCAACCCTAGAACAAATAGGCTCAATAGACAAATACAGAACACACCATCCCAAAGCTAAGAGATATATGTTCTTGACAGCCCACAGAACATTCTCCAAAATAGATCATATCCTAGGTCATAAACCTCAATAAAATTAAAAGAATTAGAATTATGCATTATATCATCTGAGACCCTTAGGCAATAAAGCCAAAGATATTAACAAATGGAAGAAGGTAGCATGCTCTTGGCTGAGAAGAATCAACACTATTAAAATATCTATGCTACCCAAAGCAATTACACATTCAATGCAAACAAGGTGGGGTGTATGTCATACCTTTTGGGTGTGGGACACAACTGCAAGAGGGACCCTACCTAACAAATTCAAATATGGTGAACTGGTTGTTTGTACTTTCACAATAACCTGAAATAATGACAACAACAACAACAACAAAAAATAAAAAAAATAAAAAAAGAAGAAGAGAAAAAAAGTAGGATAAAGTGTTAGTTTCCAGTTACTGTTCCAACAAATCACTACAAATATAACAGCTTAACATAAAATTAGTATAATAGTTTAACAGTTTAATAGATCAGAAGTTCAACATGGATCTCACTGGGTTAAAATCAAGGTATTGGTAGAACTGCATTTTTTACTAGAACCCTTGGGGAAAAATACTTCCAAGCTGATTTTAGTTTGTTGGCAATATTCAATTGTAGGTGATATTTTTAGTGTTCCAAAACATTAAGAGAACACAAATGTCTTTTTAAAAAAGGATACAGGGTGATTGGCACACTATACAATCATGCACTACATAATCACCTTTTGGTCAACAACCTACCACACACACAAAAATGATGGACCCACATGATTATAATACTCTACCTTTTTTTATGTTTTAGTGTGGCAGTCACCAGAATAGTGTTCATTGTCCCCAATAGATAAATTTTTATCCCTCACCCCCTCCTACCCTTTCTCCTTGGTTTCCAATATCTTTTAAATTTCTTTGTGCTCATGTGTATCCATTGTTTAGCTCTCAATTATTGGTGAGTACATGAGGTATTTAATTTTCCATTCCTGAGATACTTTACTTAGGATAATCATCTTCAGTTCCAGCCAGGTTGCTGCAAATGACAGCATTCCTTTGTATGATGGAGTAGCACTTCACGATGTATATACCACATTTTCTTGATCCACTCATGAATTGATTGGCATTTAGGTTGATCCTACATCTTTGCAATTGTGATTTGTGCTGTGATAAACATTTGAGTGCATATATCATTTTGATAAAATGATTTATTCTCCTTGGGATAGGTACCCAGATAGTTGCTACATTTATTTCTTTCAGGAATCTCCATACTATTTTATACAGAGGTACTAATTTGTAGTCCCACCAACAATATATAAGCATTTCTTTCTCTCTGGATCCATGCCAGCATCTATTATTTATTTATTTTAAAATAATGGCCCTTATGACAAATGTAAGGTGATATTTCATTGTGGTTTTAATTTGCATTTCTCTTATGATAGTGATTTGGAGCATTTTTTTCATATGTTCATTGGCCATTTATATATCTTCTTTTGAAAAGAAGCATCTTCTGTGCAGATACTTTTTAATTTAATTACATCCCCTATATTAAATTTTGTTATTGCTATATTTGCCTTTGGGATACATGGATGAAGTCTTTGCATAGGATGATGTCTAGAAAAGTTTTCCCTGCATTTTCTTTTAGAGTTTTTATGGTTTCATGCCTTACAATTAAGTCCTTTATACATCTTGAATTAATTTTGGTATCTGGTATGAGATAGAGGTTTTGTTTCATTCCTTGTCATGTGGCTATCCCGCTTTCACAGGACCATTTATTGAAGGACGTCCTTTTTCCAGTTTATATTGTTGTCTGCTTTGTTGAAGATCAGTTATTTGTAGGTAGATACTTTTATTTCAGTGTTCTCTATTCTGTTCCATTGGTCTATATCTCTGCTTTTATGTCAATATGGCACTGTTTTGATTACTATAGACTTGCATTATAATTTGAAGTCAGGTAACATGATGCCTCCAAAATTTTTTCTTTTTGCTTAACACTGCTTTGGCTCTTCAGGTTCTTTTTGGTTCCAGATGAAGCTTAGATTTATTTTTTTTGTATCTGTAACATATAATGTTAGTATTTAAATTGGGATTATGTGGTATCTATAATTCATGCTGAGTAGCATGGGTATTTTAACAATGTTGATTCTACTGGTCCATGAGTGTGGGGTGTTTTTACAGTTGTTGGTGTCATCCATGATTTCTTTCATTGGTGTTTTATAGTTCTCTTTGTAAAGCTCTTTCACCTCCTTAAGTACATTTCTAGGTTTTTTGTTTGTTTGTTTGTGTTTTGGAGACAGAGTCTCACTCCGTAGAGTGCCATGGTATCATAGTTCACAGTAACCTAACACTTTTGATCAAGCAATCCCCTTGCCTCAGCTTTCTAAGTATGTGGACTACCGGCACCCACCACAACACCTGGTTATTTTAGAGATGGGATCTTGTTCTTGCTCAGGCTGATCAGAAACTCATGAGCTCAAGCAATCTGCCTGCCTCAGCCTCCCAGAGTGCTAGGATTATAGCTGTGAGCCACCATGCCTGGCCTTCTAGGTATTTTTGAAATGAGATTTTTTTTTATTGCTAGCTGGCAGTATGGTCATTCTCACCTTCTAGGACCATTTGTATTCCCTGGCTTATGGCCTCCTTCAGTGTTTAATCCATCAGTGGCAGGACAGGTCCTTCTGCTATTTTAGTTTCTTCTATTCTCTCCTCTGTTTCATCTCTTTCGCCTTACTCTTCTACCTTCCTCTTTGGCTTTCAAGATCTTATATACCTTGGTCTCATCTTACCTTAAGGTCAACTGATTGTAACCTTAATTACATCTGCAGAATCTCTTCACAACAGTACTTACGGTGTTTGAATAATCTGATGATGGGAATCTTAGGATGGGGAAAACTTGAGAAGTATGACTTCCATAGATAATCATCAATAGTTGTGCTACGTACAGGGTATATTCAGAGCTCTGCACCAAGGTCTAAAGACTACACTTAAGATCACTGAAATTATCATGGCAATGCCTGTCACCTTTAGGAATATTTTAGCCACCATTGCAACGATTACGTTCAGCATCTTTATTCCTATCATGGCTGGTATTAAGAATTTTGATTCTTTGGGTGCTAAACAGCTTAGGAAGGGTATTTATAAAATGCACATTTAAGCTTTATTCTTTCTTTTTGTAGCCTCCTTGTCCTAGGACACAGGCAGGAGTCCCTGGGCATTTGTCCAGAGAGCAATCTAATATAAAAATACTCCGCATAATGTTTCCCCTCTGACAACAAGTCCATTATCCTTGAAACAATCTCCTATACATCTATGTTTTTTCCCTTAAGAATGAGTTCTTCAGAGGCTCCTTGGACTCTGGTATAAACAGACTCCTGTTATTCCTTCTCCTGAGATCTATAGGCTCTCCCAGATACATCGAAGTCTTAGGACAAACATAAAACCAGTCTAAACTGAAATCCCTGCTACACCATGCTGCAAACATGTACATTAGAACTTCCATTTTCCTCAGATTTGGACTATAATTTGTTTAAACTTCCAAATTCATGATCCCCATTCAAAGCCTTCCCCATGGTTTCTGGAAATTACTCCCTAGGTTACTTCTTCATGTTCCTGTCCTTCCCCTCCTCTACGTTTGTGTATGTTTATCAGTTGAGACCTACTTTAGCAGTGTGTAATAGAAATGCAACAGCAAGCAAAGACAGGTTTTATTCTTCTCAGTCTAGCTACACAATGTCCTTGTTTTCTCAGGCTCTGTTCCTCTTTCTGGTCCTCCTTACCCCCTAAGCATACTGCCTTTATCTGCCTCACCTGCTATCTCTTGATCACACTAGCTGCAGAAAAAAAAAAAGAGGAGTTGAGGAAGAACCTAAGTGAGGAAACTGAAATCCCCATTGGTCCACCACTTGTGTCTCATTTGTGAGAACTGTGTACCTGGGCACATTTTTATGCTCCAAAAAAAAAAAAAAAAAAAGAGGTTCTTTTAGTAAAGAAGAAGAAAGAGATGTGGGTATTAGGCAGGTATTAACAATCGCTGCCCCAATGTGTGCCTTCTTCTAATTTAAAATAACTTGATCAAAGAGGCCTGTCACTTATCAGTTTCTATGAAAGATCACTCTACACCAAACATTTCAAGAATTTAATAATTTTGCTGTTGCGGACCCAGTCTAGATCCTGTCTACTGTGCCAGATGTCCCAACAGCAGAAATAATCATGCAAGACGTGGATTGAGAGTACAAGCTGCAAGATTTTGCTAAAGATCTGAGGCTTCATTGCGAATGAGGCAGTTTCTTGCCAGCCCCACTTGTTATTTCTTCCTCCTTGATACACACAATAGGGCCACCCCATCTAAAATAGAATTTCTAATGCCTGTGTCAGCTATTAATATTTTCTCACATTTACTAACCTACATGGTGCTTTTGATATGACAAATTTTAGCAAAAAGGAAATGTACATACTCTACATACACTGTCCAAGTAACATTATATTCCAACATTCACATATTTGCACATAATTGCCATCTCCAAAACATCAATATTACAGTCCATATTGGGAAAAACTATTTTCATGCCTTAAGAAACATTATTTAAAAACTATTCTCCTGGAGTAAATAGATTAAAAAAAAAAGATAAGGGTGGGGCAGCGCCTGTGGCTCAAAGGAGTAGGGTGCCGACTCCATATGCTGGAGGTAGCAGGTTCAAACCCAGCCCCAGCCAAAAACTGCCTATATATATATATATACTGTGTACAGTAGCTTAAAAGAGTCAGAAACCATTGCATTAGAAGTTAAGATACTGAGGCTCACACTCTTAATCCCAGCACTTTAGGAGGTTGAGTCAGATTTCTTGAGCTTAGGCATTCAAAAACAGCCTGAGCAAAGGCAAGACCCCTTCTGCACATAATAAAAGAAAAATCAGCCAGGTGTAGTGGTGCACATCCGTAGTGCCAGGTAGTTGGGAGCCTGAGGCAGGAGGATTGCTTAAGCATAGCAGTTTGAGGTTGCAGTGACCTATGATGCCATGGCATTCTAGCTCAGGTGATAGAGTGAGACACTGACTCAAAAAATTTTAGGAGACTGGGTCCTGTTTTTTGCTATAACACTAAGAATGACTGCTGTGTAAGAAGTTAAAAGAGTCATCTCTGTTTTGAATTTCATGTTCCTCTTCTGTAAAATCCAGTAGGACAAGATGATTTTTAAATTCAAAAAAAGTTCTCAATTGTGAGGGAACAAATACTTGTAAACAAAAGCTTTAACAGAAAGGAGGAAGATAAGCCAAGGAAGACGTGGTTGGGAGGAGAGAGCAATAGAGAGGGATATTGCAGCCCCTATGGCCCTGGTCTCCATTGCTGTAGGAAGGAACTAGGCATGATTAGAAGTAGAAGCTTGCAAGAGGTGTGCTAACCTTGATTGCAGGGTAGCCCCAGCAACCTCTGCAGTAGCCTTTTATTGAGACAGTACAAGACAGGTGAGGGGAGTATTAGACAATGACTATTTGCCTAAGGATTGCCACAGGCTGGGGCTCTTTCTCCACAATGAGCACCTGCAGATGAATTGCCCAAGCGTCTGCCCCCCAGCCACAAATCATCTTGCTCAGAGGTCATCTGGCTCTTGGTGTCCTCTACATTTTCCCCCTCTAGTGTATTAAAGATAAGGGAGAAAATCTGTTGTTGGTTACTTCAGCCATTCTCCTTACTGAGGAGCTTTCCTTCCTGCTAAGTAAAAGAAACAAACGGGCATATAAGTATAACAGAATTATGCCAAAGGAACTAATCTGGGTATAAGGGAAACTATTTTAGCCAAACTGGGCATAGGGGAAAACGTGTCCCTTTTGTGCTAATCACCACCCAACTACGTGCTACGGGTTGACCCATAGGGCCCATGACACTTCCATGGGAAGTATTAACCACCACCTGAAGTTATGTTAGGTGGGGAAAGGGCTACACAGAACTCAGATCCTTTCCAAAGAGCAGTATAACTTTAAGTAAAGATCACATGCCCAACTGAAACAGATATAAATGCAACAAGTGAAATTCTCTTACCTTGACCAGTATAACCGTTACCCCAAAGCCTGCTGTTTGAGGTCTTTGTTGTCATAACCTTCAAAGGTTTAGAAGATGCATACTAAGCTTACCTGGGGCTTGTTATTCAGCCCAAAATAATGAAATCCTGTATCACTCTTCCCACTCTGCATAGAAGCTCCAACTGCCTCTTAGGGAAATAGGACACTGACCGTTCTTACCTGCTTCCTCTTGATGCTGGACGGTGATACAGGAGAGGCAGCTAGAGTTCTCACAGAGGAGATTGATGCAGGGTTTCTCTATTATGAAATTACATAGGCTCCAAAAATCAGGATCCTGTGAATAAAAAAAAAAAGTCAGTGAAAACAAATTTGTAAAAGCTGTGGCAAGGTTTCCTGCTTGTGTTGAGGCTTAATCCACTGGTAACCACTGTTTCTCTTGATGTTCTGTAATAATATGGACAAAACCTCAACCCCAATGCAGTACCTAACCAGGCTTCCACTCTGACATGTCAGGTTTTCTATAAAAAATAGGTTGTTGTATTGGAGAGGATGGTGAATGAATGAGAAACATCCAAGGGCGTTCAGCAGCTATCTTTCTGACGTTGCTGAGATTCAGAAAATTGAGAGTGAAAAGAGCATTATGATCATGTACTTAGGACTATTATTCAAGGGGAGGAGATACTCCCCCTTCTGTTTTTCTAACATATCTTCTAATGTTTTATGATGTCACTCAATAATGGTCTGTCCTTGAGAATTGTAAATTGTAAGGAATACCATGAGATAATTGAATATTCCAAAAAGATAGAAAGGTATTTAACTTATGAGTAGAATAAGAAGGTGCATTATCAGTTTTGATGGATTTAGGAAGACCCATGTAATGTTTGTGTAGTTCTGTTAGAAAGGAACAGTCTTTCTAAAAAGAGTATCTACTTGATAAATAATTCCAGTTGGGGAGTGACTAGTGGCTATAATTATTAACCGAATCAGAAATCTGACATCAACCCATCTAATTCTTTTGATGCAAACTCTTTTTTAATTAGCTGCAGTTCTTCCTTGGCTTCTGGAGTGAGTGAACGAGGACTATTTAAGTCCAAAGATCCTTTCAGAATTTTGAAAAGATTAGACAAATCATAGGTTGAAAGTCCTAAAATAGGACATAACCAATTAATATGACCTAATAGCTTTTGAAAGTCATTTAAAGTAGACAGGGAATCCAATCAGAGTTGAAAAACTTGTGGAAGAATTTGAGTTTGAGTCAATTTATATCCTAAATAATTATAAGGAGGTATAGTTTGCACCTTTTCTGAAGCAATTTGAAGAATGTAAGACTTTAATATACATACAGCTTGTTCACATATTTCCTGCAAAACCATCAAACTCTAATGTGCCAAAAAGATGTCATCCATATAATGAATAACATAGGCTATACAGTATCTCTTTCTAAGAATCTGTACTGGTTGATCGACAAACTGTTGACACGGTGTAGGACTATTCAACATACCTTGTGGCAGAACCTTCCACTGGTAACACTTGAGAGGCTTCTGCCAATTATAGACAGGATCAGAAAAAGCAAAATGTGGTTGGTCTTCAAGATGCAGGTATATGGTAAAAAAAAAACAATCCTTTAAGTCAATAACATACAAATACTAATTGGAAGGAATCATAGAGGGTAAAGGAAGTCCTAAATGCAGGGGTCTCATGGGTATAATAGTTTTGTTAACTTTATGAAGGTCAGTGAGCATTCTCCAATTCCTTGATTTCTTTCTTATCATAAAAATAGGAGAATTCCAAGGGCTGGTAGAGGGCTTGATATGCCTTTCCTCCAATTGTTCCTTTACTACTAATTTTAAAGTATCCAGTTGTTCCATAGTTAACGGCCACTGCTCCACCCACACTGGATTACTACTCTTCCAGGATAACCTGAGAGCATATTTCGGGGCAGTGGCCTCTATGCTAAATTTGACATTTGCAAGGAATTAACATGAAGAGATGGTATGGTTATCACAGCATTCCATTGCTGGAGCAAATCATGACCCCATAAGTTAATAGTAATGTCAGCTATATATGGTCGGATTTGGGCATTCTGCTTATCTGGCTCCAAGTAGGTCAAAGGCAAAATACTCTGAAGATTGACTCTAGAGTTCTGATGCCAACAAAAGTAATATCAACAACTTGTTTTAGCTATTCCCTGGGCCATGATTTAGAGCCATAACCTAAACATCAGCACCTGTGTCTAATAGGCCAGTAAAGGTTTTATCCTTCAGAGTAAGAGTCAATTGAGACCTACTCTTATCAATAGATGTTTGCCAGAAAATATGGCTTGTATTACCAGGCTCACCAGTATGTTTTTCCCCAGTACCTTGTAACTTAATGGGTGGCAAAAGTAGCAACTGAAAAATCTTTTGTCTGGCCAAAATTTGAGTTGGTTGGTTTACTGAGAGATCATGATCTGTATTTTCCCTAAGTAATTACCATCAATAACACCGGTGTGGACGAACATTCCCTGAGATGCTAATTCACTTTTCCTGAGCAATAATCCAACAGTATCTGGGGGCAGAGGACCACACACTCCTGTTTTCAATTCTTTTGCTCCCATGCTGGGAAGTAAAAGGACATTTTCATATGCCAGTAAGTCTACAGCAACACTGCCTGAGGTGGCATGTAACAGAGACTGAATAAAGTGAAGTTGCTGGTGAATGAGTATATTCTCAGACCTGTATTCTTTGCCTGAGGGCTCCAGGCTGGGCCCACCTATGATAAAGATGTTCCTTTTTTATCAAACTGATAGTGGCACTCGCCCAATGGGGTGCTTTCTTACACCTGGGACAGAACCACTAGCTGTAAGTCTTTTGGTCATTGTTTTTTCAATAGATCTTCCCTTTCCAACACTCTTTTCTCCTATGTCCCAATTTTCCGCAGTTATGACATCTAGGACCATACAAACTGACCCCTTCTTTTAAAGCGGCAGCAAGTAAATTAGCCTTGTGGGATTCCATTCCTATATCAGCACATGCCCCCTTATATTCATCTAAGGGAGCATTTTGTGCTCTCAAAGGTCACAAGGCCTTTTGACACTCAGAGTTAGCATTCTCAAATGCTAAAGTTTGTAAAAGCTTGTCTCTGAGCTCTGGCTGGGCAACAGCCTTATCGACTGCAGTTTTTAATCAGGCTAGAAAATTGGTATAAAGTTCATTCCCTGACTGCATTATCTTAATAAAAGATTTAGAGATATCTCCAGGAGCCTGAACCTTTTCCCAGGCCCTAAGACAAAACAGCCTTGTCTGGACTATGGCTATGTCATCATACTGAAGTTGATTCGGAATTCCCAGCCACTGACCAAATCCAGTGAGTTGTTCTGATGTTATAGGGACTCCTCTCTGCTGGTTTTGGTGACTCATCAGGTCAGCCTCCTCCTTCTACCAGGTTTTGAACTGTAAATACTATCTGGATTCAGGTATAGTTATGGATATCATGTCCCAGTCATAAGGAATGAGCAGCTGCTCTTGTGCAAGCCCTTGTAACAGACCTCTAGAAAATGGGGGTTGCATACCATACTGTGCCATGGCCTGTTTCAAATCTTTCAGAACTGCAAAGGTGATCATATGGTGATCAAAACGTTGGCCCCCTAGAGGGTGTTGTGGATCGGGAGGAATATCAGTGACTGTAACCAGAAAAAGCCCCAAAGTGCCTTCCCACTTAAAGTCACCAGTTTTATGCCCTTCTAACACAGCCTTCATAACAGAAGTCATAGGCAGTTCATTTACATAGGGAGGTGCTGAGGGCAATATTGTGTGCTCTAAGTTGGCATTTCTGATGGTGAGACTACTTACCTGGTCTTCCAATTGTTTGATCTTGAGCAACCATAATGGCCACAGAGGTAATTCTTTGCTTATTTGTGTATCATATGCTCTTGATTCCCAGTTCTTCTTAGGTTCAGATTCCCAATGAACCTCGGTATTCTCCTCACTTTCAAATTCTGCTTGAACATCACCTTCTTCATCAGTTTCTAATTCTCATGACTTCCCAAACAGGAAGTTACTCGTTGTTTTCTCTAAATGTCTTTGCTTATTTACCAAAGACCTCACTTATTCTGAACAAGGTTCCCTAGATTCTAGATCAGATGTCCTCAAACTATGGCCCATGGGCCACATGCAGCCCACCTAGGACATTTATCTGGCCCTCCGGGTGTTTTTGCTGCCTGTCCTGCTTAGCAGCTGATTTGCCCCAGGGCTCGCAGTCAGCCCTCCAGTGGTCTGAGGGACAGTGAACTGGCCCCTTGTTTAAAAAGTTTGAGGACCCCTATTCTAGATTGGCCAAATGTCCCGTTTTCTCTGAGCAGTTTCCCTTTGGACTTCCTCCCACTGCTGGAGGCCTCACTTACTTTTGAGTATCACTTTCCCCTTTGGTCCTTGTCCTTGGTGTCCTGTTGTATCTTGCTGGATCTGGCAGATGTTGCAACCCCTATGGCCCTGGTCTCGATTGTGGCAGGAAGGAACCAGGCATGACACAAATTAGAAGTGCAAAGTTGCAGGAGATGGGCTAGTCTTGATTGCAGGGCATCCCCGAACAACCTCCTCAGTAGCCTTTTATTGAGACAGTACAAGACAGGTGAGGGAAGTATGGGACAATGATGAAGTGCCTAATGATGGCCATGGGCTTGGGCTCTTTCTCCCCAACAAACACCTGCGGACAAATTGCCTGAGCATCCACCCACAGCAGCAAATCATCTTGCTCAGAGGTCATCTGGCTCTTGGCGTCTTCTACAGACAGAGGTAAGGAGAGATGGGGAAGGAAGGAAAGAATGAAGGGGAGGGGAAGAACTGCTAGCCTAATCACTCAGTTCTAACCGGAGAATAGGGATAACAGAAGGAAAAATGTAATTACCTTGTACCCCCTCATTTGCTGGTGGATAGGCAAGTTGTTCTCTCTTGTTGATCAGTTCCCCTGAAAGACTTGGATACCTTCAGTCTCACATCTGTACCTTTGCCCATTCTTTTCAGCATGCAGACACAATTGCCTATCAGTGAGCATTTCTCCCTCCACCACCGTGCCTGCCTTGTTCCTAGCCACGCTTCCAAGTTGTCACAGGAAATGCCACCTGCGTACCTGAGTTTTCAACCCTTTGCTTGCCTCCAAAATTCATACCCATTTTGAGTTATGTGCTCTTCCACTGTGCTCTTATAGTTCCTTCTAGCAAATGTACCCTTATACCTGGATATATTTATTTATTCATTTTGTAAAGCTTTATGTCAGCAGAGTAAATACTATGAAGGAAAACACTGGTATAGGTAATAAGGTCAAAGATAAATAAGATAAGTGTTGCTTTCAAGGACCAAATAGTCTACCAGGGGAAATAAAGGGAAAGAAACATGTTATATGAGGGATATGCACATGATTCTGTGGGAACTAAGAAGAGGAGGTATCTAAATAAGAGTAAATGATTCAGAGGAGGCTTTCCAGAGAAGATTTCTAAGGTGAGACCTAAACCATAAGAATGGTTTATCAAAAGGGAAGGTGCTAGCAGGGACGATAAACAGAGGACACAGCACAGGGAAGGGAGAAGAGAGACAGATGGCACAGCTTGGGCTGGGAAGAAGTCCCTCTGTTGCAGGAGAGGGCTGTCCTGATAGTGGTGAACAAGTGAATAAGAGACATGCGTGGCAACTCTGGTGTGCAAAGGCCAAATTTATCCTAAAACTGAGGGAAGTCGTGGAGAGGTTGGATGGGACATAATCATTCACACAGGGTGGCTATAAAATATAATTTAATTTTTCTATGAATGGTTGATTTAAAAAGTAATACTAAACCATAATTATGTATTTCCTTCTTTGTCTTTCCTCCTCGACTTATGAATTCATTTAAGAATGGAGATGATGTTTTATTTGGATCTCTTCACTTAGCAAAATTTCAGCACAGAGTAGGTAGTCATTTAGTAAGTGTCTGTCGAATGAATAAATGAATGAAAAAATGAATAGAAAAAGTTGGATGAAAGGAAAAGTGAGCTCATTAAATACATTCAGAGATGTGGTTAAACTGCAGACAGAAAGGAAAAGGCTACGAGGCTTCTCTGTCTAAAAGCGATAATAAAACCGAAGCCTCCCAACTTTGAAGCTGCAGTGACTTGAGGCATGGAGTTACTTTTTAAGGCCTTAAATTTCAATGTAAAATACCTTTGCAATGTAGTACATAGAAATTGTTAATAGGTTTAGAGAAGAGACACATGTGAATTGTTAAAAGGTGTTTTCTTTCTAATGCTAAATACATTAGATGTAAATGGTATTTTACTGTTGATATTTTCAATTAAGATAAAAAGCATCCTTTGTTAAGTCAGGTGCATTACTTGAAATAAGCATTTGTGCCTACATTTTGTGTCACATTTACATTTCTGGATATTAAATCAGCAATATGGCCCATCCTATGCCATTTCTAGAAAGGTGTCTAGAAGTAAGTTGTAACCAGCTTTCATATTTTAAATTTTAACCGTATTTTAGGATGGATAAATGCATGCAAATATAGTAAGTGGAAAGTTGCTATCATCTCTTAATTAACCATATCGATGAAAGCCTAGTTATTCAAGACTGTAAATCCCTAAGTAAGATTGAATCACGTATTTTGTGTCATAAGAAAAGAAGCTGCCGGCCTAATTCTTAGAGAATAAACAATTTCAAGGTAACTGGTTTTGAAAACTCACACCTATAGACAATAAATTTTATATATGGTTTTAATCTTTATTA